CCACCGTTGTTACACCTACACCCAACAATGGCAACTTGGGAACAACTTGCTTCCTACGAACTTGTTCGGACTCAGTGCCCCATGTGGCCATTCTGGACTTCTCACACTTCGCGCCTGGGGCCGGTAGCGGGTGAGCAGCATGAAGAGCCGGCCCTCCGCTAGGGCGGCCCGCAGCACAATTGTGGCGCCATTGGGCCCGGCCTGGCCCGCCTGCCGAGGGTCCTCCCGGAACCTGCCAATGGGGAGGGTGGAAAGAGTAGACAAAAGCCCGGAACAAGTAAGGACAAACATCCAATCAGCACCACGCAAAAAGTTTAACGATCCATCAAAAGTACAGCCGTTGAGAGCCTGCTTGGGTCTTCGCCTGGCACGCCTTGCCACACTTGGCGTGCTCAAGCCAACAGCTCTGGATAGTGTCGGGTCCGAGATCTCGAGCTGACTTAAGCGGTTTGACATGGTTTGACCACAAAATCAACCAGCAGTGACACCTTGTGCACTGGGCGGCCGGGGCACCAATTCGACACGATGGGTATGTCCTCCACGATGAGCACCGGGCTCACGTCTCCCGTGCCTGCGTCCTCTAGGGACACATTCGAGGCATCGAAGAAGGAGGCGATCATTGGCCCTGGCCGTGTGCTTAGGCAAATGTGGTTGCAACTGCGCGATTATTGCAGGCCCCGCAAGCTGGCACCTGAGTGCCTTCTGGGACAGTTTCGAGCCGATGGGCCAAGTGCGGCAATCACTTTGAGCGACTTCCTCCCATCACAACCTTGGTGCGGACCGGCCTGACAGCATGCCGTCGCCCTCCACAGAGGGCCAGGCCTCCACATAGATGAAAATCCTTGGGCACAGGGCACAGGGCATCAGTTCCTTTAAGAGGCACGCCAGGGGCTCAAGGCTTATAACTGCGCTAGGGAATCATTGAGGAATTCCAGTGAATGATTAGAGCCCAACTGCACCCTATCCAATTTCGCAAAACGCGTTGCTCGCCTAGGTTGATGCGCAGCCTGCGTTGCAGGTCGGACTTTGATGCAGTCTTCGTTAATGATTGAGCATGCCTGCGCGCAAACAGTTTCACCTCCACCGAAGGAACTGGCAATGTGACATACCAACAAGAGAAATATGCAGACCCCTCGACATGGCTGTCTAAGGTTGGACTTGGGCCAATTGCGCTTGCCTTCGTGTTCCCCTTTAGGATATAGGGTCTCGGCTGTTTTGAACCGCTCGGTCAAGTGAGCTTTGTCCGAGGCTCATGTAGGTCTTGCTGTCCTGGAACCGGCAGTCTGTAAAGTTCCAGATCTGAAGGCTCGCATCCTGAGCTCACTTGCAACAGTCACATGGGGATATTGACCACTTTCCTCTTGGTTGCGCTTGAAACCATCCTGAGAAAGGTAGCCCACCCAACAGACTACACTCCCATAAGAGCAGCATTCAAGTCAGGACCACCGTGGGGCGAATCACGTCTGACCTTGACTCCCGCTTGGAGCCCCGGTTTGGAGAGGCCCCCTGGCTTCAAGAATGCAAAGTTTTGCGCTTGAAGAGTGAAAAGGACATCCATATTTGAGACCATGTCCCTTTCATGAACCCAAACAAAGAACTGGTTCCAGCCCAAGGGCGCCCGAAGCCACACACATGCCTGCCAAGAGCTCCGACTGAACTGAGTCTGCAAAAGCCGGGAACTCAAATGAAAGGGACATTTGCTCATCACGGGCTTTTGCCGTTTCTCTTCCGCTAACCATGCAAAGTGGGAGGGCGTTGATTCTCCTTGCGCCGCTGTTTGTTACTTAGCACCAGCTCAAAGAAACAGACTCCTGAGCATCGATCCTCGTTTCAAAGCAACATTTGGGATTGTGCACAAGGCTTGGGGCTGGTTCGCTGAAAGTTTTAGAAGGTGCGTGATGGGTTGGTTTGGGCGTGAGAGAATGCTTTTTGTTTTGAAGAGGTAGATGTAAACAAACCCCAAGGTAGACGTGTCCGTCTGTGTTCCTACGGCTTGTGCTTCCTAGGTGTGGCGTGGGATGGCGTGGGCCTCGGGCAGGTACAGCCGTGTAGTCCCAGCATCAGCTTCATCATTCGGACAAGGTTTGTCCCACTTTTGGTGCGGACTTGGAGGCTGGTTTGAGGATGGGTTTCAGGCTGCAGTTGAGGTGACTTACGGTTGATCTTGTTTCCCCCTAAACAGGTTATTGTTGGGCCTAATGAACGGGCCGCGTGCTGGCCCGCGTGCTCGCCACCAGTGTGCGCATATACTTGTCTCCCAGTATGCGGTGTGCAAATTTACTTGCCTCCCAGTGCTGCCAGATCGCCGGGATGTCGCCGGATAGCCGGACCGCATGATCGCAAAAGCGCCCATTGTTGGCTCATCGCATTCTCGGCGCGCAAAAGTGCTCTTTGCTGGCGTGTGCGCAGCGGTGCAGGCCAGGCTAGCACGTGAATGAGTCTTGCAGCGTTTGCGGCGCTCAAGGTGTCGTGCTTGTATGTTGCTGCGCACCGGAGACGTGAGACGGATGCCATGTCTTCTTCATGTGACCAGCCCAGCAAAAGCTTTATTCAATGTGCTTGCTCTTGCAGGGAGACGAGCCCTTGTGGATTCACCGAACGAGCACTGTAGAAACTGAGCTTATGCTATTTTTTGCTTAATGTCCCAAAGTGTACTGGGAAGGAACAACTTCCATGGCCTGCGCCTTGTCCGGGATAGGCGCTTTCGAGACGCTGCCGTGTCAAGCATTGCGCAGAGGCTGTTGTGTTTTTTGCTTCGTGTCCCACAACGGGCTTCGTTGGCGCGTAAGAGTGCTCCTAGTGCTCCTTGTTGGCGCATCATCGTGTCCAGTGTCGGCGCACACATGGCGTACAAGCTTGTTCGCTGTCGGCGCGCAAGAGTGTTCACTATTGGCGCAAAAGCGTATCCATTGTTGGCGCACACAAGTTTTTTTTGTAGGCGCGCAAGCGTGTTCTCTGTCGGCGCACTAGTGTTCCTTGTTGGCGCAACAGTGTGTTCACTGTTAATTGTTTGCGCATAAGCGTGCCCATGTTCAAGTGTGTTCACTGTCGCGCACACGAGTGTTCCTTGTTGGCGCATAAGTGTGTCCACCGTCGGCGCACAAAAGTGTCCGTTGTTGGCGCGCAAGCGTGTCCTCTGTCGGCGCACAAGAGTGTTCCTTGTTGGTGCATAAGCGTGTCCACCGTGCGCCCAAGAGTGTTTCTTGTTGGCGCATCATCGTAGCCAGTGTCGTTCCCTGGTGTTCACTGTCGCCGCGCAAGAGTGCTCCAAGAGAAAACAATTTTGGCGGTCCCTCAAGAAGACGCATTGCGTTCTTACAATCTGCTTGGGACCTACGCTAGTATAACTCACTATTGGGCTGCTGTTGTGCTGGTTTTGGTTTGTTGTTGCCCAACATTCAGGCTAAGCCGAACCAAACAAGGGATGCTGCTGATGCGGAGGAACATGATGTCGGTGATGCTGGGATTGTTCCTTTATTCACTCAAAGACCACGCACCGATCCCCATGAACAAACATGCCCTCGTAGCTGTGAACCAACAACCAAACCACCGAACTAGGAAAAACACCTCATCTCAAACCCTAACTCAAACCAACAAGCCCAAACCCAGTGCTACCCACCCACCCAAACACCTCACCAAACCCTAACTCAAACCAACAAGCCCAAACCCAGTGCTACCCACCCGCCCAAACACCTCACCCCCCGGCCCCCCGCCCGCCCGACAGGCAAACCGCACCACCAAGCCTGCCTGCCAAGCCAAACACGAGCGAATGCGCAGGCAACCAAAAGCATCGGCAGCACTGGATTGCAAACTAAAGCCAAGCGTCAATAGACACATCCTGGAGATAACAGTCAGGACCACCCAGGGCCCCCTCCAGGCTGCGAATGGACAAGGATGTCACACCTCACGGACTCAAAATAGCGGAGAAGATGTCACCAGGAAGGCTTTGAATTCAGACTACCGCGGAACATTGAACCAAGGTATGCGGTGTGTGTGTGTGTCTGTGTGTCTGCGTGTCTGCGTGTCTGCGAGTCTGCCTGTCTGTGTGTCTGCGTGTCTGTGTGTCTGTGTCTGTGTGTGTGTGGGTGTGTCTGTGGGTGTCTGTGGGTGTCTGTGTGTGTCTGTGTGTGTCTGTGTGTCTCTGTGTGTGTCTCTGTGTCTGTGTCTGTGTCTGTGTCTGTGTCTGTGTCTCTGTGTCTGTGTCTGTGTCTCTGTCTGTGTCTCTGTCTGTGTCTCTGTCTGTGTGTGTCTGTGTGTGTCTGCGTGTGTCTATGTGTGTCTGGGCGTGTCTGCGTGTGTGTCTGTGTGTGTGTGTGTGTGTGTGTCTGTGTGTGTGTGTGTGTGTGTCTGTCTGTCTGTCTGTCTGTCTGTCTGTCTGTCTGTCTGTCTGTCTGTCTGTCTGTCTGTCTGTCTGTCTGTCTGTCTGTCTGTGTGTGTGCGTGTGTGGGTGCGTGCGTGCGTGCGTGCGTGCGTGCGTGCGTGCGTGCGTGCGTGCGTGCGTGCGTGCGTGCGTGGGTGGGTGTGTGGTGTGGGTGTGTGGGTGGGTGGGTGGGTGGGTGGGTGTGTGTGTGTGTGTGTGTGTGTGTGTGTGTGTGTGTGTGTGTGTCTGTGTCTGTGTCTGTGTCTGTGTGTGTGTCTGTGTCTGTGTGCGTGCGTGCGTGCGTGCGTGTGCGTGTTTATGTGGGTGTGCATGTGTGTGCGTGTGTTTCTGTGTCTGCGCCTGTGTGTCTGTGTGTCTGTGTGTCTGTGTGTCTGTGTGTCTGTGTGTCTGTGTGTCTGTGTGTCTGTGTGTCTGGTTGTCTGGTTGGCTGTGTGTCTGTGTGTCTGTGTGTGTGTCTCTGTGTGTCTGTGTCGGTGTGTGTGTGTGGTGTGCGTGTGTCTGTTGTCTATGTGTTTGTGTGTTTGTGTCTCTGTGTCTCTTCGTCTCTGTGTGTGCGTGTGTGTGTGTCAAACTCACAAGGACTGGAAAACAATGTCAAAACACCATGATAACATGCCATGCTGATAGAACGATCCCAACAAAGCAAACCACCAAAGAACATGTGTCGGTCATTTCTCGTGAGTCATGACAGCAGTTTCCAATGTGACTGATTCTCAGTTTTGCGAGTGACCACGCGCTAAAGAAAACAATGCATTGGCAAGCACGCGGGGCGGCGGGGGGCAGCGGGAAACAGGCATGAGGGGGCGTCGCCGACAAAGCAGGGTAGCAAACGGCTCTTGGAAAAATCACCCACATCCTGATTCGCTTTTTTGACATCCCTGCTGCTGGATGAACCTGAAAGTCCCCCCAACACTGGCTGAGGCACCCTCATACATGCCTGGAGAGGGTCCATTGCCACTTCAAGTTCATACCCAAATAGGGGGAACACTTCCTAATGCGGCTTCTCCTTTGGTTTCCCCCAACCAAAAGAGCCAAATCTGCGCCCTGCCTGATCCGCCAATGGCGTCCACCGCCATGGCCCAAACACGTCCGGGATCCGTGGTCTGCCAAGCGCGGCGAACAAAGATCTGGGGGTGTTTGTGCATAGCCCTGCTGCATACCCTTGAAAACAACCCCAAAGGTTTTGTTGTCACGGTTGGTGGGAAGAAGGTACCAAATGTGGCTTAAACTTATGACAACTGGTCACCGCGGCCACTGAATGAAGACATGCCCTCGTTTTACCCTGTAGTCGCGGAAGTCGTTTGGGATCATAAGCAAGCAGTTGTGTCCTCTGTTCCCTGGTTGCCAACTCACTTTGTAGAAATTCAAGCACCACTAACATGATCTCATGCTGTTGCTTTGGTGGTCAGGGACCGAAGTGGGTCTGTCCGCAAATGGGGTGCCCCTTTCGGATGCCTTGAAAGCGAACCAAAGGACACCAGACAGTTTTAGAAGTTGCCCTATCAGAGGACTCACCCGACATTCAAGACAACTGAGCAGCAGCCCATCTTGTTTCGAGTCACCCCGGGGTCACCCCCTTCATTGTTTCTAGTCCCTGCGCCTGAAAGCGCACGTCGAAGCCATCGAGCGTGGGCAGTGTGAGAAGCACTGGGCTCACCGCGAAGTTGTTGGATCGTATGACCTGTGCGACTCAGGCTAGCCAAAATGCTTTGGAACATCAAATCCGAGGCACTTAATCCGCCGAATGAGGCGCACGGGAAGGGTGGTTAGTACAGGAGATGGTTTTTCCGAGTGTTACGCGAATTCTATTCCCAATTTGCTCCAGTTCTATTCTATTTCGGGGGGTTGGCTGTAGAGGCACCAGCGCCTGACACCCCGAGCCTCGCCGGCGTTTTATTCTTAAGGAGATGTTGCCAGCTGTGGTCTCAGCGACGAGCAACATGAAATGGGCAATGAGGGGAAATGAAGGGAGATGAGAGACATTAAATGAGAATTCAGAGGGACATAAAAGGGGCAGGGAAACACAGCTGAAATGACGGGAAATGAAGGAACATTGAAAGAACATGCGGGAAATGACATGAACGGACATGAAGGGAAATTGAGGAACATGCGGGAAATGAAGGAACACTAAAAAGGAAATACCCGGAAATTAAATTGGGAAATGAAGGGACATGAAAGGAAATGAGGGAAATTACATCAAGATCTAAGAAAAGACTCCAAAGCGAGGTACTTGACTCCAAATATCAGGACACGGTTGATCACTCCATAGAGGAGTGGGTCGAGGCGGTCCTGGTTCGGGGGCTCAACTTCAATGGGCGCACTGTCTCGGACTTCTTCGAGGAGTATGAGGCATATGCGGCAGAGTGGGGTAGACGCCTCACCACCGCAAATTTCAACCCTAACAAAAGCGGCTTTTATACGTCATACGACATGACAGAGAGAAACATGACACGGAAAGAAGTGAAGGGACATGAACGAACATGACGGAAATCAAATGAAGGAACATGAAGTGAAATGAAGGCAGAAATGAAGGGACACGAAGCGAACTTAGATGAGACATGAAGAGCAGGGTTCCCTGTGGCCGGCTGTTTCGAATCAGAGTCTAAATCAAATTCAGGGCACCTGCCTCGCTAAATCCGCTGACGCCTGTCGAGCGTGTAGATGGCAGTCCGCAACTTGGTCTTCCTTCGGATCTCTTATCAAAGCCGAAGGCTTTGGGGGCTGCCGTTTCTTGGGCATGGTGCTGGGTGTCCAAAACCCTGTAATTGTCCTGTGTTTTTAGGGCTTGCTTGCTAAAAACCTGCGTTTCGCCTAGGGGGGGGGTTCCCCGCACACACGCAGGATCTGCATCCCCAGCATCATCAGGGTTACCTTGCTGCTATGAATTTGTCTTTTTTTTGCAGATACTAATGGTGTTTTGATGTTTTAAGCGATGTTGGAATCGGCCTATTAGGTCTGGGTGGGGCCAAGTGCAGTGATACGTTGAGGAACTGCTTGAATTTGCAAAAATGAGTGTTTTTTGCAATTCCCCACCTACGGAGCAGTTACTGCGAAACATCCCCTGCATTTTCGAGTTTGGAAGTTTGAAGGGTTGCTAGTATCTGCTTTTGATGGTTGATTTTGAGAAATATCAACAAATCCTGGTTTTTTGAACTTTTTTGGCCAGCCGGCTGCATTCCCAGCATTCCCGACATCTCTAGTATTTTCTGTGTTACGTCAATTTTGTGTGTCTGAAAGTCTTGAAATGTTGGATTTCCAGCATCCCCAGCATCTGGCACATGTTTCCTGACTGAAAAATAGGAAAGTGCCAAGAAGGCCTTGTTGTGGCACTTTCAGACTTCCACAAAAAAAGAAAAATGGTCTTAAAACCCCTTGCACCCCACTGACGTCGGCGGATCGCGTAGCGATTTCAATAACCCTCCCCCCCCACCCCTTTTGCGCTGCCTTCACGAAGACGGTCCTGGACAAAGTGCCGTCGGTGTGAAACCGACGGTCCTCCACATAGACGTACAGGGCATAGATCTGTCCTGGCGCATGGCTCAAGAACTCATTGAGTGTGTAATGTGTTGAAGCACACACCACATGTTTCCAGAGTCTTCCATTGGTGGTTGTTGAAAAGTACCCTACTGGAAACATCATGGACTGGATGGGGTTCGACGATTTCAAACAAGTCCACATGCTGGCCCTTGACATGTGCAAACCAGCTTCATGCCTTGCCCCCCCCTGGTTGCCAACCCTCAAAAGGAAAACCCCAAACGAGCAAAACATCCTTGCTTAGAGGCAAGCCCAAAGAATCACCCTTGCTTGAAAGATAAGCTTTCAGCACCAGGACTGAAGTGGATACCACAATTCCCGTTCGGTTGGGAAGCAAGGGGAATGACGAACATGGTTGCGCACAATCACTCTTTCTGTGACACCAAAGCAGGCCATTCGACATCCATGACAACTTTGTCAGGACTCCGGTTAAAGGACCTGCATCATGGTGAGTGAGATTGCCATAAACTGGGCACAGCCACCTTGTGCCAAAATAGAGGGACTGCAAAAATGTTGTTTTCCCTTTAAACCTTCCCCAAAAGGGTACCTCCAAGACAGACAAGCCACCAATCGTAACTCGCCTGGGTCGAGTTGGCACCCGGTGAGCGAATAGGTCTGCACTGTGGCCTCGATCAGGCCCGCTGTGATGCGGCAGCTGAGAGCTCCCACGGCACCAAAGTTGGCCACCATCCGGGACCTGCGCATCAGTTAAAACGCGGACGAGTGCTCCGCGGAAAACCAAAAGGTGCTTTTGGCCGCCTTTGGGTACGTGGCAAAACACAGGGACCACACAAATGCTTCTCTCTTGCTAGTTTCCTTGAAACCAGCCACACAGACGATACCCCCCGATTGAAAAGCAACACGCATATAATTGCTATGGGTATATATAGGAATCCATAATCATGTATGACATATCAAATGATATATTCCAGGATCAAAGCAATGTGATGGTTGCATAAAATAGATACAGGCGTTTGCGCAAAGGCCGCACCCAGCTGCGTCCGGGTTGCGACTTTTTGGTTACCATGAAAAGGATGCAACCCAAACATGCATCAGGTATTCGACAGGACCCCCAAATTTGAGGTCCTTGGGGAGACCAACACATGGGCTTGGAAGAGGGTGCAAAGCACATAAGCCGAGCTTTTAGTTGTTAGTCGTCGGCCATGCCATTTCAGCCCACAAAACCCATCTGGACAACAAGCAACATGTCATGCATATTCCAGGCAGTCCAGTTTGAGCAGCATGCCCTCAGAAATGGTTTGAGCTGTGATTCCACTTGTCCAACGTTCTCTGGACTGATGTGTTTAATGCAAATGGACTTTGAACATGAACTCGCTTCAATATATATATATATATATATATATGCAGCTGGAGCATGAAGTCCAGTTGAACTTAAAGCATGCTGAATACGATTGAATGATACTTCCAGCAATGACACTTCTCTCGGACTCCGCGATGCTATCTGTTACACGACATTTTCTCTGCCGGAACACAAATCACATTGTTAAAAAAAGAGACGTAGGGACAACTCAGTGTTCACTCGCCTGCAGATTTCTGATTCGGCCCTAGTGCTGGGCTCATCAAAAACAATACGGACAGTGTCTTGGAGCAGGGATGGTAAAGGCCAATCACACAAAGGTTTGGGTTGGGTCCGGGGGCCCAATAAACTTGCAGATTCTGACAGGGAAGGTCAACAAGCAGACTATATTCCAACTATGGCGATGTCCCCCTGAAACCAATACTGAAAAAATACAAACAAATCAACCAGCTCAGCTTGCAAGAAACTAGCACACCTCGTGAACAGGGCCCTATTGACATCATCCCGCTTGAAGAAAGCTCTTTCAATTTGGCCTTTTCGCTTGCAGCCATCAAAAAGGATACTCTGTAGTGTTTTTTTGCGGGTACTCTCTTGGGGTAACTCAAAAGGAGAAGCAACAACTGCCCATTTGGATGCGCATCCATGCAGCGTTTCTGGAGCCCCGGTGAGCTTTCCAGTCCAGTGCCTTGTTGGGGGCTCCACCAAGGATGCGGAGGGCGTGACCACCACCCAAACCCTTCCTGGCTTCCTGAGCCGGTCTACCGGAACGAGCAAGGGAATCCGAGGGGAAACCGAAATGGAAACCAAAAAGGAAACCAAAAAGCAAAGCAAATCTGAAACCGATGATTCAAACGGGGCAGCTTTAAAGAGGGAAAACCAGAAGGAACCAACTAAGGTCTACTTGGAGGTTTTCTGCGGGCCCTAAAAACTATCCCCAGGGACATGATTGACACCCATCGCAAGCGCCAACCAAGGACCCTCCGTTGGCTTGCCCGTTTCTGTGTTGGCCCAACCATGGAACGCTGGCATCCGTGCTGCGCTCACCGTGCAAGCCATGAGTATTGCCCACTATACTTCTGCGGCTGCTTGGGAATGGAACACTTCCTTTTCGAACTTGCTGTGCGCAGAAGTATGGGCACGATGCGAGAGAAAGATGTGTCAGCCCTAAGCTACTAAAGGGTCTTCCATGTAGCTGCGAGAAGCGTTTCTTGGGGACCCTCAACGACACAGCTTGCGAGGCAGCGCAGCGAGCGCGGTCGAGCGTGTTTCTCATTGAACAGGCGGCCGTGGGCAAATGTAATGGGCACCCCAATGAAGCACTAGCATCTGTTACCATGACGCTGGGCGAAAGGGAGCGGGATCCAGGTGGGCAGGTGGGGGGTGAAGGGTTGAAATTGGGGGTTGGAATTGAGACCATGACCACAACAAGGGGGGCATGAGTGATTCAGAGGGCCCGGTGATGCCGCAATGTGAACTTGCGACACAATCCGTTCCCCGGACTCCGGTGACGGTAAAATCGACCTGGGGCCCCGACTTGGGGGTGAAGCGAAAGTCGATGCTGTCCGTGGTGGGCTGCGACAGCAAGGCCGGCTCCACCTCGAAGCCGTTGGAGACCTGGCCGAAACGGTCGAAGGCGAAAGGCGAAGCAAACCTCTGGTGAACCTATGGGCCTATGGCCTATGGCCTATGGGTATGGATTCCAATTGGACAAATGATGCCATGATTGATACAGATAGTTCTCTAATTCGACATGGACCCTTTGGTGGACAGCATCACCACTTTTGGAATTCATAGCCACATGGTCGCGGGGAATGTTGGCCCGCAATAGTTGTCTGAAAGCCATGAAGCGCTTATGGCCATCCCTGCTGCAACCATCGGAAATCAGATCGAACTGATTTGAACACTTTCCACTGTGCCAAGCAAGAAGTCACATCTCCATATGAGAAAAGGAGATATGAGGGGACAACTCTTTGGGACCGGCCACCTGGAGCTTGAGACGTTGAAGACATCTCGCCACCCCCTTCCCAGTCAAGGGGCGCCCACTTCGATGGCAAAGGGAGTCGACAAAGTGCCGTCGAAATGCGAGTTCTCATCCTGGGAGGCTGGAAGATGGAAGGTCTTCAAATTTTCAGCACGACTCACGCCCAGCTTCGAATCTTGGCCTTTGGGTAATGCATGACAGCTGCCCGCAAAGCTGGAAATCTGTGACCGTTACATCGCAAGACCTCCATCGCTTCGGCGCAGCTTTTTGCACTGAGGACTCATGCGAAAGAACGAGACACGCTTGGCTTGACATTCAAGTCCGCTTTGGACCCAAACCTCCCACAGCCAACAAACACACACGCAAGCGAACACAAACACAAACACCCAACGATACAAATACAGACACATCAAGAACATACACAGACACACAAACACAAACACAGATTGATCAAACCAAACATCTCCTCCCTCAGGGCCCAAGGATCGAATAGACTAGGGCATTTTGGCAAATGAACATCCGCGCTCCGCTGAGCTCCTTGTTACAGGCCGGAAGCAAGTGCCTTGAAGCTTGCTTACTTGCTTGCGTGCAAAAAGCGTAATGTTGATTGCCTTCTCGCTTTGGCTTTTGAGAGCAACGGCAAAGCCAGCGCTTGGACAAGGCCCCGTACAAGAAAACGAGCGCAGCAAAGAAGGCGGTCCAGCTTGCAGGGCCAGAATCGTGTTGTATTTGTGGAAAGCAAAGGAAAGCAGAAGCTATCGAGCACACATGTGCAACAAAGCAAATGTAGGACTTGGTAGAGCTGAGACACGGATCGACAGGATACTTCTGGGCTTGAATCATATTGATTTTTGGCATCGGAAGCCGCGCCTTTGAGCAAGCTAGGCCGAACCAGAGCATCTGTGTGCTTGAGCCGGTCCCCATCAAACCGTTTGGAGAAATGGGCTTTCCGAAGCACACACCCCCAGAAGAAAGCTTGTTTCGCAGCTTGGTCGTGTTAGTCTTGGCTTGCTTGTGAATCGGCATTTCTACTGGCTCTTGCAACACCGCTTTTGCCTTTGTGCACCCAACACCGCGCCACATTCTCCTGATCTCCTGCAACCCCAAACATGGGGCATCTTTGAGCCATCAAACAAAACACACACATCAACATGAAAAACTCCTTCGACTCACATTTGGGCAGGAGTCAAGGCCTGTGTGTGTGTGTGCTTGTGTCTGTCTGTGTCTGTGTCCGTGTCTGTGTGTCATCTGTTGCTGCATAACATGTTGCTGCGGGCTCCTCGATG